AAATGTTAGTCAAAATCAGTGAGAGCCAGAAACCTATATCAAACCAAATTATTTTATTTCTCATGGCAGTGTACCAGATATGGGTTCATATAATCATGCACATAATTTTGATGAGATTCCTGATAAAAATGAGGAAAATATGTCGACTGAGTCAAATGATGGTCAAAAATCTAATTTAATTTTGTTAGATGCTTATTTTCTTAATGACTCATTATCTACTAATGAATTTGAAAATAATGCTTCAAAAGAACCAAACTCTGACCTCAAATCAAAGGTCGTTCATTATCATCTAGTCATTTTATAGTGGATTCTTCATTCAATACGAGAAACACGGTTTAAACAAAGTCCTATGGATTGTAATTTGGAGACATAATGACCCAACATTGTTTCGCGGAGGAGACTGTCGGAGAATTTAAGGTTACATATAATTTTTTTAAATCACAATCTAAACTTGGGATCTTCTAAAAAAAGTGGTGTGTTATATCCGAGTGAAGATTAAATTACGGGTAGCTTATGAGGACTATTGATGGACTAATATTCTTATTGTATAACTATTCAACAATTATTTTGTTAAGTCTAATGGTGTCCTTGGACTTAAAGTGGACATTTCCCATTAGTCAATATTTATTTCACTTGTCAAATATTGTGCAAATGTTATTTTCTATTTTATGGTACGATGTAGTCTGCTTGATTGGTATATAAACAGAGTATGTTTGAAATACATGATTTGATCCGATTCGATTCATACTGCGGAAGCTGGTATTGTGTTTTGGACTCAAGTAGACGGGCTAGAAGGACCTAGGACTAATAAGGCGCTAGACTGCCCACACCGGTTGAACGACATTGGTTGACCTAGTGTGAAGATTCGTATAAGTCGTATTCGGATTGGTGAATAATTCGTGTGATAGAAAAGTCAGACACCAAGGTCATAACAGCTATGTTCATTATTTTTAAATTGTCATATACCTCACCAATCTGTAGGTTAACCTGATCCGTCAATGAGTTGCATTATATATCTATGTGTTTCCAATTTAAAAATAATTCGAATCGCCTTTAACATTTTTCAGTGAAGCAATCATAGTCGTTATTGCTATACGCATTTGGGTTCATGAATTTGTCTATCACACTAATAGCCTAAGATGACGAACATAGTTTAGATAATAAGGTCTTTGAATTTAGGTACTAGTGTACTGGACTAAAATAATAACTAAAGCATCATGTAGTTGCTGGCTAAGCAAATATTAAAAATTACAACTCTGTAGTCGACTATTAAAATTGACATTATGTAGATGAATATTTCTAAATTACATTTAGTAATAAAATTAGGATTCGTTAACGCTACGAATTTCTGATAATTTCGAATCACCTCAAACAACAATACCTATTATCAAGCAGCACTACAACTAGTTAAACATACTGGTTTCACGATATCATCATAAAGCATTGTCATGACTTGACAATCACGTTATATGATTGATAAAATTGATGAAACTATTGACGAAATTGGCCAACAAATTGACGTTTCATTATCATTAAATGGTGTTGTTTTCTTGTTATTTTCATCCAATACAGATGATTGCAGTGTTACTCTATCAGTTGCTCACTCAGTAAATATCTTAGTTCTTTATCAGTCTAATTGGAGGTTTAGCGACAAATTCATGCATGCAAATCATAAGTATGAGCAGTCGAGCAAACCTCCTGCAAACTGAAAACACTGTCGAATTTACCACAACACTGACGAAGATTCAAGCCATTATCATAGACGTTAGTTGGGAGTGTACCCCCTTGGTTACAACTTGTGTTCCTCCTGATAATCACATGAGCATTACTCACTGTTAATCACTTTGTAAAGACTTATTTAACCGAAGACATTTTGCAGCACCACATAATCTAGAAATGCAGCACATAAGCTTAGTTGATTCCAACAACGTATAATCACTATATCTAAATGAAATCGTATTACGCCTTATACTAAACTGCATACTTGCGATTAACTTCAATACACCATCGACCGGTAGATATAAATATAGATAAATAGTCTATGGCAAATCAGAACATTCAGTCTCACACGAATACACTCATGTTTAACGAATTGTTGTTAGCTATCTGTCCAAAATTTACATAATTATCACTTTTCACGTATTTAAACTTTTTTTGATGACCCTTCATATGTATTAGTAGTATTGCTAAATTCTATCGAGGTCAAGTAAAAATGAGGTCGAGAAAATCTCTCCGTAACTAAATAAACCGTATCAAACTAACTGTAGCACTAGTTGGAACTCTTCTCCACGGTAATACTTTTGTTCTATTAATTAGCCTACTAATGCAGATGCAATTGGAAATCAACACATACAGTTACCGACATAATCGTTATAATCGTTATAATTTAAACCAAAACTAATACCATTATTACCATTTCTACAATATTGATTGCTTTTAATATTTCTAAACACAAAATACTTACTGCGTATAAGTTAAGTTGTTACCCATCACCTAATAATACGTGTCTTACGGCGACTTATTAAAATATCCCTATACGGAATAATTTTCTTATTATTATCCCACTTTTTTTAGCTCAAATAATCTTCACCCAACTTTTCATTTTAAGTGTGTTAAGTATTAAGAAAGACATTTTAAAATATTGTATGTACTTCTCAGTTTATCGATATCCAGAGGATTCAAATTATTCTTGATGACCTCCGGCGCACCACAATCCCACTCAATTTGGTATCAAACCGACGTCACGTTGATTCTGTCGGGAGAGTAGTGTAGTGGCATTGGGCCTTAACCACACAATCCTCAAAGCTGAACACGAGAAAACTCGGAAGATAGACACTCAATATTTAACGCGGAGAAAAACCCAACGATGGAGAAGGCGGGAAGAATGAATGGAATTAGTTGACTGATCAGATGGCATGGCTCGGCCACGCAGGTGTAGTCATATTTATATAAATTGTTATCCATATGAAAGATATTGTTCTACCTCCAGACTAAATGGGTTCTACATCATATATCGACGACTGTTACAATACGATGAGCCAGGGTAGACGATGATGTCACTTCCACTTAAAATTTTATAGATTAGGCAGTTATATCATGACAAATCTATAATTTTAGGATTAGGCTAATGTCGAAGTGGACCATAATTCTACATATAATTATCATATTTTTTTAATGGTTTGCCAATGAAGTATATATTTACTTAATTATCCTGCCTTTCTGAAGTTGATAAGTTATCAATCTAAGACACTGTACGTTTTCATATAGTTTAGGATAAATTACGAACAGATGCTACTAAAAAAATTATAAGGGGGATAAGTGGCCTTGCATTAACATAGTAAAGTGTCATATGACATTATTTTACACCTACATCAGGCCTGGTGCATCTTTAGAAGCTGCAGGGTTCAAGTACACTGTTAGTTTACCTTGTGTCCAGTAGTCTTCTGGAAATCCATTTTACTCATAAATAAGGTGGCTTGTTGTGTCTGTTTCACGTAATCCAACTGGCGACCTGTGCAAATGACGGAAACCTTATGTAGAATCTATTTTTCCTCGCACGTTAGATTGACAATGGTGCATTTTGAATAACCTAGTGTGATTTTCTGGTTTGCATTTGGACAAGCCGGTGAGGCCTACACATTAGATTTTAGGAGTGTAGTAAATTGGTGTTTGAGTCTTAGGTAGAGTGCTTGTAACATGGAACTAGTAAAAACAGTGTATTCTAAAAAGGTGTGCAACATGAATCTTAGATCAACATACGCATGTACGAAGTTGAGACCTCGAAAAACGTCGTCTATGAACCTGAAGATGACACAGGTATTTAGTGTTTGACAACGCTTTTACCAGCAACACCTTCTAATATAATTCGTACCCACCAAGAGAAATTAAAAGACAGAGTCGAGAAGATCGGAAGAGTGTATTTGGCGATAACCAATATATCGGAATTCTCCGATCTAATCTGGCTAGCGATTGCGGTAGATGTTGAGCACAGCGTTACCACACGTGATCTGATGAGGATGCATGGCCGGGCGCCTTCAGCTAGATGAGTCCACTAAGACACATGGTCAGCATCCAATGTTGCAATCTTACAGAGCATAGCTACAGACCTTTGGAAAGTTTGGCAGCGTTTCTTAGACCGTAGGAATTCGCAAAAGTTCGTAGAGTCCGAAGGAAGTCATGATAGCGGTTTTCAGAATATCGTCAGTAGCCATAGGGATTTGGTTATACGCTTTTACCAAGTCGATTTTCGAAAAGACAGTTGACCTTTCAGAGTAGCTGTCAATTCGTGAGTGTGAGGCAATGGGTAACGATGGGGAATGTTTTTTGTATTCAATCGCCGATAGTCACCAGTTGGACGTCAATCGTTGCTGCCCTTTTTGGGGACCATGTGTAACGGAGATGCCCATGGGCTGTTTGACGGTCTTATGATGCCCAAGGTCTATCATGTTGTCGAATTCGTTTTTCGCAAACCTTAGCTTTTCGAGGACTAGTCGGCGTGCTTTCGAGAATACAATAGGTCCTGTACTCGGGATGTGGTGTGTAACGTTGCTGGGCTGGTGTATCCCAGAATACTTATCGAGTAGTGAGTGATAGAATAGGTCTATCATGTGCTTAACTGTGACTGGAGATAATCTGCAACAAGAAAAAGAAGTTACGCAAACGGATAAATTGGTGTTTCCGTCTACTAGTCTCCGTTTGCGCTTGTCGATGATTAGATTATGGTGTTGTAGAAGGTTGTTAGCGGGACATAGACTGGATTAAAGCATGCTCAATGCACGACTGCTTTGGTGCACGCTGATTGGCTAATTCTTATCCAATTAGCACTAGTCGATAGTTTGAGAATACTCTAGAATTTTCTCAGGTAAAAACTATAAATATACTAACGTTTTCTCTATTGTGCTTCTTACTTCCATCTAATCTTGTTATTTGGAATATAATCTCTTTCCTGTTCAACCGTGTTCAGATTTGGGGTCTTGTCGAGTGATTTGCTGTCCAAGAATACTAAGCAATAGGAATAGCTGGGGTCATAACCGTAAGAAGATTATAACAAAGGCCTATACCAATCATTGGCATAGAAACATCTGCAACAACGAAGATCCAGTGAATGGGTTTACGTAAACCCACGTTCAGGTAAACGTATCTTTTACCGTATGTGGCGATAGGCTTTCCGTTTGCCGCCTGTAGATTTAAAACCGATTCGTGTACTTGGTCGTTAAAATTTACAGGAAGAACGCACCTAAACTACCCAAATACAGAATCCAAGGGGTAAACAGTTCACAAATTCTGTCAAGCAAAGTTGGAGCGTTGGAACCATCATATTGGAAAAATGACTAAGATCACGCAACAAAATAAAGGCAAAATAAAAACGCGAGCTGTCTGATTTTTCAAATACGAATCGATTGCTCATTAGAAATGACCAAATAATTGATGTCTAGCATCCGTCATAAATAAATTAATACGCAACTGCCGCTTAATTCTACTAACAGCGCGTGTTTGAAGATGTGCATTTGTCACTGAGCAGCTCTTCAGTTTTCCCTCTTGTAGTGGATGGCAGAGATTGACTTTTTATCTGCTGAACTTGAAAATGATGATGAGTGTAGAGACGATGAAGCAGAAAGATCCAACCTATCGTCTCCGGAGAAAAATAATACCAAGTCTTCAGATCAATCGGTAAATCATATTTCCAATTCTTACTTTTCATAACAGTCAAAGGAATGGATCTGTTCGGAGAAAAAAGAGTGAGTCCCTTTAAAACTTGTCATTCGGGTTTCAGAGAGATAACGACTCAAGAAACTGTCGAGATTTGTCAGAAGACTGTCAATCCGAATAATCGTGTTAATGCTGAAAACTTCAAAATTCAACGTGTCATTGGCAAAGGAGGCTACGGAAAGGTTCGTGGAGCTTCTCTGCCTTAGTGTGCAGGTTTTTCTAGTTCAGAAGGTTGATGGCATTGATCAAGGAAAACTCTATGCCATGAAGGTTTTAAAGAAGGCCAGACTAGTGTGCAATGAAAAGGATAAGGCACACACTGTTTCTGAAAGGAATATCCTTGAAATGTTACAGGTACCAGTTTCATTTGTTTAATAGTCTTAGCACCCTTTCCTGGTGAAACTTCATTATGCTTTTCAAAATCACTCCAACTTGTACATTGTGCTAGAATATTGCCACGGAGGAGAACTGTTTAACTACTTGGAACGTGAAGGAGCTTTGTTAGAAAATGCTGCGTGGTAAGAAATACGTTCAGCTCTATGTTGGAAATAGTTTTTACGCTTCTGAAATTGTTCTAGCTATTGGGCATCTGCATTCGTTGGGTATAATATACAGGGATTTAAAGTCTGAAAATGTGCTGTTGGACCGCCAGGGTCACGTAAAGCTTACTGACTTTGGGCTTTCAAAAGAGGGTGTGTGCACTACCAATACATTCTGCGGAACGATTGAGTATATGTAAGTTCAAATCTTTACTCATGGTTCAGGGCCCCTGAAATAATCCGATGTGAAGGTCATGGAAAAGCAGTAGACTGGTGGAGTCTTGGGACTTTAATCTACGATATGCTATCTGGCGCGGTAAGTTCTTTTACTTAATGTGACTAATAATGTAGCCACCATTTAGCCAGGAGGAAAGTCGTGAAGCTACCACACGAAAAGTAAGCATTAATTTAGATTGATTATTTGTTGTAGATACTCACAGCTCCTTTAAAATTTCCACCATCATTCTCATCAGAAGTTACCAGTCTCATACGTGGCTTGTTGAAACGTGACCCAAATGAAAGACTAGGAAGCAAAGAAGATATGGAGGAAATTAAACGGCACAAATTTTTCAAAAGACATGTGAGTCTTCTAAAATGTATAATAAATAATTTATTTCTAAAATCTTTCAATTTGTAACTATCGAATTTTTCTGACCAGTTGTTTACAACTGAGACTGGAATTTACGCTGTGCGTTAGCTTGTGAAAGAGCGTTCATCCACTTCAGTTACCTAACTAAATCTGCCACAAACCTCTATATTGGCTCAACCTTACATTTCTTTAGTCTTTTTTATTAATATGTATTAATATATGTAAAGGTCAAGTGTACGTACTTCATTTGTAAGGTGGTTTTTAGTCTATACTGATGCTTTCCATAGTTCATCTGCATTAAAGAAACCAGGTCATCTAGCATATATCAACCTAATTGTCTTTGTTTTCAACTAAATGTAAGACACTTTCCAATTTCTCAGTGATGATATAATTTAACAAATAACTAGTGCAAGTTTACATTGTATTCTTGTAGCCATAGTACGCATGTGTAACTGTAAGCAACACTACCCTACTGCCCGAATTGTAGTAAGTGAAATTGAATTCGAACATGAAACCCGATAGTTGGGTTTCATTTATTTTAACCACTTAACCTATTGCTCATCTGACTAATTATCATTTTCGGTTAATGGGTAGTAGTTGAATGCTTAATTGATGAAATTTTATAAAAGCTACTAACGCACGTTCGATGATTCTTCATCTAAGAACAGCGACAGCCAGAAAGCTAATCTGGGTTTGTTTTCCCTACTGATAGCTACATTAGAGACTATGGGTCAGTAGTTATGACGCTTTCTTTCTTGGAGTTTCACATAAAATTACTTCAACCGCAAAGTGTAAGAGATAAATTTTTCAAAGACTGATTGTACGTTTTAATAACAAAACCTGACCAGTACGGAACTATCCTGTATAACTTTGTATCATTAGACGACAAACACTGTTTCTCCAATGTTTTTCAGTGGTTTGGAAGCAAAATTCGAAATACTAGGTGTTACAGAAAAATGTATTTTGAACAGGTCAAATTAGGAGACGAGACAGAAAACTACTGTCTAAGGTTCCGAAAGTCAAGTATGTAGGAATATTTTGACCCCTCATGGGGCAAACAATAATGATAAAGACGATATACAACCGTTTGGTTAGATATTCTAGAGTACATGTAACACGGCTGCTACCACGTTTGTGCCCAACTTTCGGTTTAAGCATGCAGTGCTTTTATATTCGGTATCATTCCATAGCATACCCTTAAAGTTGAAGTTGTAAACTTGAAATTACTTACTTTGGTTTAGTTAACTCAATTGGTAGCCTAGTTTTTGTATTTTAAATAAGGTTGACAATTTAATGTACTAAATTGCAAATGGTTGTAAGGTTTTGTTACTGATTGTGTAATCCAACTTTACAGTTAAAAACAGGCCTTAAACTGGTATATTGCAAGGTTATTTATTTTTTAGGAAATAAATTGGTCTGATGTCTATAACCGACGTTTGAAACCACCTTTCCGTCCTAAACTAACTGCTGAGAATGATGTGTCGATGTTTGACCCATCGTTTACCCGTTTACAACCAGTTGTTAGTCCTGTCGATGGTGGTGCATCCATTCCTCCGGATATGTTCCAAGTTAGTTTTTCATTAATTAAAAGTTGATGGTTAAACTCACAATAAGTTGTAATGAATACTTCTGTGAATAAGATTTTCAAAAAGAACAAGTCTTTAAGTGACCACTAATTTGTTATGATATAAGACACTATAACATTGAATGTACTTCTTTGCTAAGGCAGGACATTACTAAAAGTTAGCCGTCAAAAGGTCCTTCCTAATATGTCAGGAACCCACATCCGATCGTTTGATTGTATCGACTTAAATCACCCTATTCAGAGATTTCTTTTGATTCATGAGTGTGTAAAAGCTTTACCTACTTTTTAGGTTCAACTAAGCCTAGTTTGTTGTTTTCCATTTTGTGGTACCAATGATGTGAATCAGTTGTAGCCATCAAGAATTCAACGTATAGCGTAAAAGCATTCTAATGGGGCTGGTAATCGATGATTATGCATAAAAGAAAGGAATTCTACTAGTTGATATAAATCCCCAAGGTAATCCATTAATTAGTGTCATACAGTCATAAACTAATCTCACTATACTCAGTATTATTGCTAGTTAAAAATCATTTAAGGGAAATCCAATACTAAATAGCAGCTGGTGGTAAAAAGTCAATTGAACTACAACGAAATCACTAGCACTGGTTTTCGTTACAATACACTACTTTTATCCGACCTCTGATGAGCAAGTTATAGATTGTAACATTAGGTTGTTGCTCTTGTGTAACTACTGTCCACTTTTTGCCGTCAGTTGAGGTAATAACAAGTGAGTTTACTTAACTAGGGGTTAATAATACTAAGAAATCATACGGTTCGTTCGCCATTTATCAAATAGCTAAAAGATACTTAATCTGACTTCACTGTTTCACCACTCTTCAGATTGTGGCGTTTCCACTCACTAGTACCAAAACCGTGAGACCAAAGTGTGCGTTAAACCAGCTCTAGCTGTTCAACCGTAGCTCATTAAAATCATCATTTTAGAGAAAAATGTATGCACTATTGTCCCCTATTCAGAGTTAGTGTGTCTTATGATAACTGGACCATAATCGGTCTGTAAACTATGTATTATTTTCAACAAATCAAAACACACTGTTGTTTCGAAAATCTCATTCAGTATGTTTATATATTTTATCATAGTTTACTGATATTTCCTATGATTAAGACCACATCTTCACAGTCTTAACCACATATACTTAAATGTATTAATGAAATATTCATTTCTCCAAATCACAGATGAACATTATAAAACTGTTATACTTGTGACCGCCAATTAATGTGCAATGACTTATCGATCGGATCAATAACGTGTAAACCCGTATGAGCAGTCTAAAGTACTTATAGGTCCTGCTTCATGCCTACCCCAGCCAGTTAAGTTCAGAACACCAATCTCAGTCTCTGCAACATGAATCATTATATTTCAAACATACTGAGTTCATATACCAATCAAACAGACCACAGCGCACCATAAAATAGAAAACAACATTTATACAAGATTTGGCCAAATGTGGCTGTGAATGTGGGAGGCAGTGACTAATAGACAGGGTATAATTCAAGAATGATAAGTCTTATAATAATGGTCCATAGGTCAAAATAAAGCTTATAATAAGAGGAATATGAATATGAATAGTTTAGTTATTTAACAATTATACGATAAAAGTATACGTTTAGTACTGGTCCATAAACGGATTCCAAAGTTAACATTCATTATGCTTATCGGGAGATAACAAAAACAAAAGGCTTTAAATAACGCCATCCATTGAAAAATCAAACTACTGTATATGCATCACGTAGTGATTTACAATTTTAATTAATATTTTTACTTAATTTCTAAATTCTTTAGTGATGGTAATCTGACATAAATAAACATGCATATACACAAAAAACATCCACACATCCATCTACTCATCTCTATTTGTCCTACCAGGGCTTTTCGTATGTGGCACCGAGTGTCTGTGAGGATAGTTTACGAGATAATTGGACAGATAACTTACCAAGTCGTCATCGAAGACATGGGTAAGTAGATTTTTTTACTCTTGTTTATTTCCATAATCTCGTAAATCTAATCTCATAATTTGCTTGTCGGTTTACTGGTTGCCTTTTTATTGTACCTGGTAATACTATTCATAATTATAATACAACTCATCTACAAAATAAAAGTTTATTTAGTCAGACTTCAGAAGCATTTTTTTATGAGGACTAGTGGTTTACGTGGAGTTTTGTTATCTGATCTGGATGGTTCACCCGTAGAGCTTTCACTGTTCTTCTGAACAACATTATTAGTACGAACTTCAGGTTGAAGTGAAGTGTTTGAATTTCTCCACATATGACTCACAGCTTGTCCTGTCGACCTCGATCTTGATTGGTTATTGTTGACCTTTAACTTGGCGTTGTCTACCTCTTTATTTTGATTGTATCTCCCTTTGATTTGATTCTTGGTCCTATATTTGTCCATGATTTTTCCAACTTGTTGATAGGCTGGGTTGATTTCGATGTGTTTATTGATTGTTGATTAACCTGAGTGCCAAGCTTCTAAAAATTCTCTAGTGTTTTTAGTATTTCCTCCATCCAAGATCTCAACATTTTTCCAGTCGAATATGTGTCCACATGCATTGATATAAGCGAGGATATGTCATGGCGTTTGACCGTTAATTGATGTTTGTTAGCCCCCATTGCCCTGATACGGCCGAGAGTGTGGAGAGTCCGCTCTCCCTCTCCAAATGCTCCCACATAGGCACATATAACCCAATGCCAGGAAAGCCCTACTCACTGCCTCCTCGTGGTGGGGGTGTTGTTTACGAAATTGCGAGGACGAAAAGCGAATATCCGGCGCTTTAACCGGGCTGGTGGAGACGGAGAGTCCAACTAGTGGAGTTGGGAAACCCTGATTCCAAACCAATGGTGCACAAGGGCTCCAGTATGCTGAGGGAACAAATGGCGTATGAACCGATCATTGGTCACCGGCTACCATGTGACTGCATCTCTTTACAATGCTCCACTGCCTTGTGGATCAGACCTTTAGGTCGAAGGCTCCTGATGTGGCCCTCTAAGAAAACCACCTGCTTCGATTTGGGCACCTGGCCAGTATCTCAGCTCCAATACAAATCGGATGAAGTGTGACGCATGTGTATCTGGTGCCCCCTTGTACCAGTATTTATGTGTTCAAATAAATAAATAATTGATGTTTGTTCAGGCGAAGGTGAAGGTGACGTTCACTTTTTCCGATGTAGTGTTTTTCGCAATCGGAACAGTTTGTTTTGTAGATGTTTATTTGTTTATTATTTATTTATTTTCAGTGGTTAAGATCATGAGTCAGTTAAAGCTAGACCACCATTGAAAACCTGGAAGCACTAGACGGCCGTTTCTTCCCATTGTGGGACTCCTCAGCAGTGCGCATCCACGACCTCGTCCCCTGCGAGATTCGAAGCCACGACCTACTTGTTTCGCGCTCGAGCACTTAACCACTAGACCACAGAGCCTCCTACCTGATCCACAAGGTAGTGGACAGCGTCAGAAGTTACAGTCTCATGGTAGCCGGTGACCAATAATTGGTTCATACGCCATTTGTTCCGTCAGGATCCTGGAACCCATGTGCACAATTGGTTTGGAATCAGGGTTTTCCAACTTCCCTAGGTTGATGCTCCGTGTCCACCAACTCCCTTTTCTTACTCTTAATCTCCTAAACAATAATGCTGTGAAGAAATGAGTAGGACTTCCCTGTCAATGGCTGTATACGTGTGGCCATGTGAGAGCACTTCAAGTGGAGAGCGGACTCTCCCCACCCTCGGCCGTGTCAGGGCTTTTGGGGGTTGTTCTGTAAATGATGTTCGGTTTTTATTCTTTTGTCATTTCGTCCTTTAATTTGCTACGGATTGATTGGAGTGGTTTTGCTTGTTTGTGTGATAAATCTATTCCAAACGGCCCCATTAGTCTCTTTATAACTTTTGATGTCTTTTGTATATGATGGGATAATCGTTTCGTTGTTTTTTCGTTTCTGCTGATGTGTTGGGTTGATTTTTTTTCGATAAAGTTTCATAGGTAGCTGTTCTTTCGAAGGATAGTCATTAGATGTTTTTACGCCCTGCAAGCGTGCCGCAGTGTGTTCTCGCCTCCTTGGACAAGTTTGTACGCAGTTGATCTTGTGATTTCTTGGGTTGTTGCTACTGTAATTGAGAATCTGATCCGTGTGGGTAGGCCTCCGATGCACTTAAGTCTCCAGTTTTCCTATGTTGGTTCCGGTGATTAGTACATCCAAAACTGTTAGTTTGTTGTTCAACTACTTTTCCATTGTGAATTTTATGTCATCAAAGACGTTAATCAGATTGTAGATGATTTTCAGCTGGTCCGTTTTAATGGTAACGATTATATCGCCCACATGGCGAATCCACATTTTTGGTTTGATCACTAGTAAGATCGAGGCTTTCAGTCTCTTCATCACTACTTCTACAATAAGTCCTGGTATTGGTAATTCCTCTGGCGTTCCTTTCATTTGTTCGTAGATTTCATTGCAGAATTGAAAGTATGTTGTTAAGCATAAATCGATGGGTTCTAGTAAACTTTATCTCCGAAGCTTCCTATACTTTAGGACATTTGTGTCGTTTGTGAAAAGCAGGGATAGAGTTTCCTTTGCTAAGCTTGGTTCAGTTGAGGAGAATAAAGCTGTTACTTACCTACGCCTGTTACCCCTTGTCAAGAAGCATAGGTCGCTCACCAGCATTCTCTATCAAACTCTGTCCTCGACAATCTTTCCTACTTGCTTCCAGTTGCTATTCATCTTTTTCATGTCTACTTCCACTTCTCAGCTCACTGTATTATTTGGCCTTCCTCTTTTCCATTTCAACTCATGATCTCAAGTTAGTGCTTGTCTCGTGATCCAGCTTGATAATTCCCTCAATTTGTGTCCTATACACTCCCAACATCTTTTCCTAATTTTCTGTTCAGCTGGAAATTTGTTTGTTCACTTTCAGAGTAGGCTGTTAATGATGGTATCCGGCCAATGGATTTTGAGTATCCCGCGTAGACAACTATTTATAAATACTTGTACATTGTTGATGATGGTTGTAGTTCTCCACGTTTCAGATCTCTACAATATAGCTAACTGTGTTGACGTTCGTATTGAAGATTCTGAGAGACTGCTGCTACACTGTTTGTCTTGACCTGCATTTATTGATGTGCATGGGATAGAAGGACCAAATCATCTGCGAAATCCTAATCATCTAGTTGCATCCAAACAGTCCACTTTATTCCACGCTTCCCGTCAGATGTGGAGGTCTTCATAATTCAGTCAACCACCAGAAGAAAGAGAAAGAGGAAAAGTAGGCAGTCTTGTCTGAATTCGGTCCTTGCTTGAAATGCGTCTGTCATCTGTCCTCTATGCACGACTTTGCACTATATTCCGTCGTATGAATTCTGTATGATGTTGACGATCTTCTTAGGTATTCTATAGTGTCGAGGAAGTTTCCATCATGGTCTCCATACTGTCAAATTCTTTCTCATAATCAATGAAGTTGATGTGTAGTGACGAATCAAATCCAACTGACTTTTCAAAGTTGGTCCATTGTGTCGCGATTTGTTCTGTACACGCCCGATACTTACGGAATCCGGTTTCTTGATCGAAGCTGGGCGTCCATCGAGCAACAGTCTGTTGAAACCCTCTCCTGGTATTTACAGTAATGTGATGCCTCTCTGGTTCTCACATTTGCCAAGATCTTCTTTCTTCGGTATCTTGAAAAGGCATCCTTCTTTCCGGTCCGTGGGCACTTGTTTTTCCTCCCAAATCTTCCTGAATAGAACGTGAAGAATACTTGCAGTTCTATATCTTACTTTAGTGCTTCGGCTGGTATATTGTCATGTCCAGCCGCTTTCCAACTCTTGACTTTTCTGATGGACATCTTAATTTCTTCGATCGTTAGTGGAGTGACATCTAAAGAAAAGTCCGTAGGTGCTGCTTCGATATCTGGTGGTTTCAATGGAGCTGGTTTATTCATGAGTTCCTCTAAGTGTTCCACTCATGTGCTCCTCTGTTATTATTGGCTTGCCTTCTTTGTCCTTGGCCGATTTCTCTGGTTTGCTAGATTTTCCTACCATCTTCGTCGAGTCATATAGTTGTTCCATATTTCCTCCTCTTGAAGCTTTTTTCGCTGCCGTTGCTAGGTCTTCCACGTATTTCTGCTTGTCGGCTCTAATGTTCTTCTTCACTTGCTTGTTTGCTTCAATGTACTCAGTTTGTGCCTTGACTTTCTCTGTTCTTGTTCGACTGTTAATTACTGTCTTTTATTCTTCCTTTCTTGAATCTTGTCCAGGGTTTCGATAGAGATCCATTCCTTATGATGGTGGTTCTTGCAGCCCAGAACCTCCTGACACGTTGAAGTTAATGCTTCTTCGATCTCTTTCCAGTTGTCTTCCACAGCAGTTTCTTCTTTCGGTAGATCCTGTTAGGCTTGGAACCTGTTTTCGAGAGTTATCTTGGATTGGTTAAGTTTGTCAGTATATCGAAGCAAGGCTGTATTGAACCTTTGTAATGCTGTTTGTCCAGTTGTCCGGTGTTTCTTTAGCTTCAGTTTCATCTAGGTCACAGCTATGTCAGCTCCTCATGGTTTTCATGTCTTCCGTTGACCTTGTGATTTTTTTTACTGATGCAAATATGATATATCTGGTTCTCCGTGGTATGATCCAGCGGGATCTATGTAGCTTTGTGTATGCGTTTGTGTGTAAATATTGTGCAGCCTATAACCAATTTGTTGAATGCACATTGGTTTGAAAATCTCTCACCATTATCTTTCCTTTCTCCCAGTCAGTTCATGTCGTCCCATGGTATCTTAATAACCGTTGTTATCCATTCCGACTTTGGCGTTTAGATCTCCCATCAGGATTGTCAGGTCCATTCCTGCGCACTCCGGTATGGCTGATTGCAGCCACTTGTAGAACTGATCTCTATCGTCACTATTGCTATGGTTGGTGAGTGCATAACAATGAATGAAATTCATTGTAATTCCCTCCCTGGATCTATGAGATTACCGTCATATAAGTGCATTTGTGCCTCTTTGGGCAGCATCAGAGCAACTCTCTGAGTGTGTTGAGCATTTTTCTCTTCGTGACCGGAGTACAGCAGAATCTCTCCCGTGTCTAGCCTTTGCTGTTCAGATTGTGTCCAATGGGTTTCGCTGACCCTGAGCACTTCCAAATTGTATCTTCTTATTTCCGTTGCTATTTGACTGATCTTCCCGGTCTCCCACATTGTCTGGACGTTCCATGTACCTATAAAAATTGTTGCTCTGGTTGTTAGAAGGGAAATGAGCCTCGTGACTTCCGAAGAATCTCAGCTTTCATGTTGAAGTATCATAATTGTTTTTTGAACTTGGAAGGCAGAGTTTAAATGGTTTGAATTGTTTATGCTGGTTGGCGTTTCTTTAGCAAGCTTGTTTTTTTACGTGATGGGGTTCCCGTCCCATACGCCTAACTCTCCTTATTTGCGTGGGCTTGGGACCGACAGTAGTCCTAGAAAAGCTACAGGCAAAGTTGAATAAGGCTGTTACATCGATGAACATCATTAGTTCGTCGTTGTTGACTTGAATCTCTTTAATCTTATCCAAGAATTGTATGGGGGATTTAATGAAACGATTGATGATTCTATTATCCTCTCAAAACTGAAGTATGTGAAGAGTAAATTGAACGTACGACTTTTAAACCGAAAAGTTGAATACTTTTACTACTAAGGTGCTGTTTCCACACCGCATTCACTTTATTAATCTAGAATGGAATTTTTTTAAGTGATAGTAATGTATGACATTCGAATATAGATATGTCACAGTTATCCAAAAACCTGTAAAGGTGTTCGCATCAATGATGCTACTCCTAGTTTAGTTGAGCTCTTCGACCACATTATTTTTATCAGTTTAGTTTAGTAGAGATCGTTCACTTTTATTGACATCACGGACCAATCTAAGTTAATCAACCATTGATCTATAACAAGATTTCACGTTGCAACATGCAGTTTTGCTTATATTTTTCTATTTAATCCTTTTCAAACTTTGTTTTACTTTTATTCTTGTATAGTTTACGTGGCACTATGTCTGCTGGACGTTTAAGACGTATTGGTTTCGGTCATTTGACTGCACCTAATCGAATTCCTGAAGATATTGTCGTACATAATATTCCATTACAGATTCAACCGGAATTGAATGATTTCCATGATTTTAGTGCAGACTATCGACAAAAGCCTGTGATGCATCAATCGTCTAATCATGTATCAACTCAAGGGATCGCAAACGATAAACGTACTGCTCACTTACCTAATCATCATTATCAACAACAATGCTATTCAAACGATACACAACAGCTGCACAAAATTTCAGGAAAATCAACTCAGATAATCACGTCCAATGGTACTACAAATAGTAATAATGCTGTAAAAAAAGAAAAAGAAGCGGATGAGCAGGAAGACGATGACGATGACGATGATGAAATAGCTGCAGAAGAAGAAGATAATGTTCCAGGAGCAAAACAAATACAACCAACAAGTGCTCCAAAATATTTGCCACTTTGTAAATATGAATCTAAAAGCAATGATATAGTGACTAATATCAACACTAACAGTATTTATTCAACCACAAAACCATCCAGTAAGAATTCTACAAAATTTGCACCCTTCAGTGGTTCACTTCAATGTCATCCAGAGTTGCATGCAAATACAAAAATGATCAATTCACGTTTAATGTATAGTTGTCAAACTGGATCATTTCCACATAATAAATCAGGACATGCTACAACATCACATCTTCCCTCAATACAAAATGGACCACGTATCACTTCACCTTTACAACGTCGTGGTGTAAATTGTGCAACAACGTTGCATTCAGATGTATCTAATACTATTCCCATTACTCCTACTACTGTAGCAACAAGTACAAATACTTCAACAAATGCTAAATGTAGTATTATGTAATATTGTACAGTATCTTGCTCATTCATATAATACTGTGATTCTTATGTAAAATATCAAAATAGATTCATATTCTTTAAAGCTCTCATTTCATCAAACTCACATTAATTCATCATCTATTAACAATGAACATCTATTTACTTTAATGAAAGATGAATTCCACTCTCAAGCTCCGTTGTCTAAAAACATATCTATATCGTTTATCTTCATAATTTCTTGATTTCTTTTGTTTTTCTAATCTGGAAAATTAATATATCATATATTCTCATATTTGTAATAGTTTATAATGATGTTGGGATCCATGAGATGATAGTAACCGATGGTTAGAGATCTTGAATGTAACATGGTTCAAAATCGTTTGTAATGACTCAGGCGCATCCAATCTTTGTGTTCTCCCAAATTTTAATCATCTGAATTCTTTATATTCCTTTCTTTTTTTTCTCTTTCCAAATTTATTTCACTGGATCATACTCCTTGAATAACATCATCAAACCCTGATTTTTCCGATAACTGCTTATACTCTTACTACCTCTACCACTATGGGATTTGAATCGACAATTGTCTCTCTATGCTAATGTTGTAAGGCAACCTGAACTGATGTACGAACGTACGAAGTTCTACGTTGTTACTAACTAATTGATAATGATGTGTTTTGGATGAGTTCTAGTACTGTTTACTTCTTTTCAAAACATGAAGTAAAACATACATGTTATAAGTTCATACACAAATGATTTTTATATATCTTCCTCCCTCCCTCCTCCTCTCTCTCTTTCTACACATATATACGCACATACAGCTCGTTTACACATGTATATAAATCATCAATATGTCAAATATTCATCTATCACTCTAAACATTCCTAACATTTTATACCAACATTATCATTCCTTCACATTGTTTATATTTCTGTATTAGCACTATTTTTTTCTTTGTTGTTCATATCTCAGTTGTCCATTGGTTAACTACTTTATATCCTATTGGTTGACTAATTATACCATATACTTTATATCATCATTGCTGCTCCCTCTTTTTCTTCGGTTCATATATAAAAATAATTTTGTGCACATCATTTATTCTGATATGATTATAGTAGCCATATATAGAGTATATCAGTAATATTCTTGTATTCTTGTATTCAAACTTCAGGACAATTTTGTCTTCAAAACACTGTTCATCTTGTTTTCATCAATTGTTTTCCTCTCTTCTTAAGTGGAAGGTGTGAGCTGGGTAAATATTAAGTGAGCAGTCTGCCCAAATGTACATTACATAATTTTGTTTTTTTTTTAATATAGGAATTGACTAGACAGTTATATTTATCTTTGTTATATATACGGTCTCTCTTTGCAATTGATTTATTTCTGGGTGGTAATCAATATCATGTATATCAGATCCTTTTTAGTGCAGATCGAATCCTATCAACCAAGTTGAAATGTGGCCACTAGTCTAGGTGACTCGACATTACATGCAATATGTTGAGGTAGTCGACAGGATGCTACTTGACACTCGTCAACAAGGTGTATCTATAATCTTGATGGAACTGATGCACCCTGGCGGATGAGATTCCGTGTCACCCAGAGACGTTACCACTGGGTTATCTGGTCCGCGACTGATCTGTAAGACTGAGATGACGGTGATCACCACCAAGTGATCAGTCAATTATAAATACACGGAATCAAATCCGTCAGGGAGCATCAATCCCCTTCAAGATTATAGGTACACCTTGTTGACGAGTGCCAAGTAGCACGAAACCTTGGTTCAGGGTTTCCTGTTTACTACCTCCAATCACCATCTTATTCTCTACTAAATTATTCATCAAATAGTGTGTATGTTGTAAGATTTTCACAATATATAATATAACTGAGTGTAAAACGTTCTTTCAATTTATAATAAGGATGATAATGTGTAAGTAACTGGTAGGTTTTGTTATATGAATGCTTTCAACACTAACCATATTATTTCAAAAACTCTGACTATTAAACGGCGAACAGAAGAAAGATGGAAGATTATGAGGAGACAGCTTTACTTCGAAGATTGTTACATATGTACAAGAAACGAAGATATTCATAGTAGGTGATCTTGAGGAATAAGATTCTTAAATTGTTAGGATATTTCTTAACTGGAAAGGTATGCTGAGTACTTTCATGGATTTCTCTCGGGGGTTTTCGAAGAAAGTTAATTCCACAGAATACGTTTGTCAATTTTCTAGGCCTCAGGAAAATTCCGTAAATAATTATCGACGACTAACAAAAACCATAAATATTAAGGCAAAAAACTATTTTCTTTCGTTCGCATAAGAGTCATGATCCTCATTCAGTGCTTAAAATGAAGTGGTTGATCAATGCTGGTTGTTTTATCATGATAGCTGATGGCCAGCGTAAGTCTATATATAGTTAACTCCTTTATTATCCTGAATCACCATTGGTTTGAAATCAGGCGTTTCCATGTACTGTTGATAAAGTTTCTATCTATCTGATTTAAGCTCTGGATCTCCGCTTTTACCTTTCAACTTTTCAAGACAATTTTATCGCTTGAGATTTAATGAGTAGGTAAACTATGGAAGTGTATATGACCACCAAACTATCACTGTGACCATTAAATTGGAATACAGCGTTCTATATTCCCAGCTTTGATCAGTTCGTGATAGACAATGACGAATATCCAGTCTCATTCCCTAATTGGTTGGACCCAAGCAGTCAAAACTATTAATCAGTACTTCGAGAATTTACATCGAGCTTATACACTGATGAACACATACGATTATCGATTTATCTGTCTAAAAAGGAGGTTTGTGAATAAAGCATTATTTACTTCATTCCCATGGATACAAATAAAATATGAACCACATAGGAATCCTTACTTAATATGTAAACATGTCACCATTGCTGCAACTATTATCTGTTACTGACTGCATCAGTAAAAACATACATTGATGGAAAAGTAATGGTATTCGTAAGGACTTGTATTACACTGCTGTTGTTATTAAGGATAATTCATCGGTGTTTGAAATTTTAGACACTTGGTTTGAGTATTAATGCAAACCCTAGCACTGGTATTTGACAATTATATTCAGCTTACGAGTGTCAACTGTGTCTTGGATCTCATTACTGACCACTGTTAATAAGGTCGGATATTTCTAATCAATGTAAGTGAAGGACTGAGATTCGCAAGACAAGTACAACAAATTGATATTTATTCAAATTAAATCCAATATTTAGAGTATTCTAAAGGTTCAAAGGTCACAAAATCTGTTCCAAATACTTCACTTTAAATATAAATACCATAAGTGTATTAACAACTTTTACTGTTTCAAAATTGTCTAACACAAAGGAATCTAAATTGTTTCAGAGAACTGAACATAGTCAGATGAATAGTTAAAGCAAAATTTTACTTAGTTATTTACTTACGACTGTTATCCCTCGTCGAGAAGCATAGGTCGCTCACCAGCATTCCTCATCAAACTCTGTTCTCGAAAATCCTTCCCACTTGCTCCTAGTTGCTATTCACTCTTCATATCTGCTTGCAATTCCCGACACAATGTGTTCACTGGCCTTCCAATCTTTCATTTCCATTGAGGAATTCAAGTTAGTGCTTGCCTCGTGGTGCAGTTTGATAATTTTCTACAGTGTATGTCTAATCCACTTCCAACATCTTTTCCTAATTTCCTCATCAGCTAGAAATTGGTTTGTTTTCTCCCACAGTAGGCAGTTGCTGATAAATATTTGGTACCTTGTCCAGACAATTGTTTATAAATACTTGTACATTGTTGATGATGGTTGTAGTAGTTCTCCAAGTTTCAGCTCCCTCCAATATAGCTAACTGTGTTGACGTTCGTATTGAAAATTCAAACTTTGATATTGGCTTGAAGACAGTTGTTTTGAGTTCCATATGTTCTTCAGTCATATAAGTGCCTCCCTTGATTTGCCGATCCTCACCTGTACATGTGCATAAGATCCTCCACATTCATTGATGATGCTATTCAGATACATGAATGCTCCCATCTATTCCAGAATTTTTCCATCAAATGTGATTGAATTGATGTTTCTATGTTGTATTTGAGGATGTTGTTTTTTCCCTTGTGTATGTTGAGTTCTACAGCCACAGAGACTACTGTTACACTATTTGTCATTATCTGTATTTGTTGATATGTACAAGACAAAAGGGCCATAAATCAAAAGCAAACTATGCAGGTCGAACATAATCTTTACATGATCTGAGTATAAACAACTAAATGATCAATCAAAGTGTCTTATTACCGTCTAGGTTATTTCTAAGCGAGCGAGAGACAGAGAGAGAAGACAGTACTTATAAAATACTATACAAAATGCAGGGTATATTGAATAACCTAAAGAATGCCAAAAAGGGTACAATTATTTCAACTTTTAAATAACTCAAAGAATGTTTCATCAATACAACAAAAATAAGCGATTTTTTTTAGGTAAAACCAAGACAATAAGTTCATTTTGACAAAATGAAAAAAGAAATATTCAATTGATTTTCTTTCTTCTAAAGTCAAATTGATTAACATCGTTGGATATTGGCTGGCTCAATAATTTAGAGGTTAAGCTTTGGGACACGAAACCGAAAGCCCTGGACTCGAGTCCCAAGTGCGAGATCGTGTCTGCCTACTGATGAGGAGTCCCATACTGGAACGAAATGACTTTCCTGTGCTTCTAAGTTTTCAATGGTGTTCTAACATTGATCCATTCATGATTTTAATTGAGACTGAACAATCTTCATAACCCTATATTGATTAATTTTATAAAATTGTAATTGACTGAAAACATATTTCATTTTATTACACGTTTGTCAATTCATTTATTTAGATGGAATTAGGCGATTTGATTGACTTGCAATTTAGAAGCTTTTTACATAACCAACCGTAACTGTTCAGTGACATGTTTCCATTTTTTATTTGCTTCTTTAGAGACCATCATATACAAAGAGAATTTCAAACTATACATGTAAGGGAAATCTATCTCATTTTTGTTCTTCAACTAATCCTTAACTATAAGCAAGGATGCGTAGTGGCTAGCAGTGTAATCCAGATTGATGTGCGTTTCGTTCTATTTGAGACTCGTCAGCTGGATGAAAACACCAGGACATTCTACGCAGTCAATCCTGCGTTGGCTTTCTCTTGTGGATCATCGATGTTTACCCAAACGAAGGATAAGTTACCTGAGTTGGCCTCCTCAGTGTGCATTTACAAATTCAACTGCTGCTGTGAAGATAGCTATATCGGGAGTATTACCAAGCAACTTAACCAAAGATCGTCACATGTCATGGTATCATGAGTTTTCAATATTATCGAAGTAATCAATGAATGAAGTGATCTTAGCAAATCAATCCAATATATTTTCTAATGTAAGCTCAAAAATGTCTTGAAATGAGAAAATCATGATGAAAAAAACGAAAAAAATTTTATTGATACCCATCAAAACTATCACAGTTTTTTTATCTTACACATTGACAAATATGATCTCAAGCACCTAGTTACAATTAAACTTCATTTAAACAAATTTTGTGGAAATGTATACCATCATATGACTGATAGTTTTAATAAATAAGAACAAACATTCATCAAATCATCTGGATCCACCACTATTTTTACGTTTGGAATAGAAAACATGAAGAAAATCTTCTAGGTTTATTTCAAGTAAATCTGATTATTATTAATTTCAATGTTTGAGATCATGAGTCAATGGAAGCTAGACCATTATGGACAACCTAGAAGCATGGGACTTCTCAGTAGTGCACATCCACGATCCTGCCTTGTGAGATTCGAACCCAGAATCTTTGAGTTTCGCGCGCGAGCGCTTAACCATTAGACCACTGAGCGGAAATTCAACGGTGTTAACCTCTAACTCCAACTAATCCACGAAATCGCGCTAACATCCAGCATTGTCATCAGTCATTTACTATCTCACAAATGACTCGGTTGAACTCCACTAGTCACGGCTTCTCACTAGAACTCTAGGAAATACCTCTTGGTAACCGTCACAAGTGAGCATATGATGATTATAATCAGAGAAGGGTTTTTGTGGATATCATAGTAATTTGATTGTTGAATTCATGAGTCGGATAAACCTAGACCACTATGGAAAACCTGAAAGCACTGGACGGTCGTTTTGTCCTGGTATAAGAATCCTCAACAGTGCACATCTACGATCCTTCTCACGGGATTCAGACGCAGGACCTTCAGTCTCGACTCATGAATTCAACTATTAAAAATTACTACAATCCACAACAACTCCATTCTCATATTAATCATCATGTGCTCACTTGTGATTGGTTTCATGAGGTATTTCCTGGAGTTTTAGTGAGAAACCGTGGTCAGTGGAAGTCAACCGTGTCTGTTGTAAAGGCAGTTACTCACTGAAGACAATGGTGGACGGTGCCACAATGTCGTGGATTGCTTGAATTTAGACATTAACACGATTGGATCCGGCCAGCTCATTATTCTGAGGTTAAGCGTCCGAGAACAGTAATAACAAAGGATCAACAAACAACAGTTTGAAAAGAATAATACAATGATTCTTTTCAATTTGTTTCTTATACCACACACAACACATCAACCCAGGACCTTCGGTTCTATGTTCGAATCCGGCAAGATGGACTGTAGATGCGCACTGCTGACGAGTCCCATACAAGAACGAAACGGCCGTCTAGCCCTGGATAATTATCAATATCTCAATCTGGCACACGAATTCACCTTAATTACTCCGTTAATAAATCAACAGGCTGTCCATTTAAGAAATATTAAAAATTCCCGGCTGATGCATTGGATCGCTGTAATATATATACTACTTAAACAACTACTGAACTAGTATACTTAAAACTTTCTTTTATCACATGTTTGTTCTG